CGGGGGTGTCAGACTTTACGTTTCGTCCGCGTTACGAATAGCCTGTGTTTCGTTACAGCCCTTGTCAAGCCCACCAAGGAAAAAGTGTTCATATCAGAGTCGTGGGCCTCACCCCTCCTCGGCATTTTTTTGTTGTTGTTCTTGTTAGTTTGGGGAGTTGCTGCATTTGACCCTCAAAATACAAACAGGGTAGATGAAAGCGAGACTCAAGCCATTCAACTGAGAACAAATAAAAATAAGGTGGAAAAAAAATCCTTTTTTTAAAGTTTTCAAATCAGAACGCCCCAGTCAAAGTTTGATTGGAATCTTTTTTTTTCTTCTAAATGTGTTTTTATTGATTTCAGAGAGGAAAGGAGAGGGAGAGAAACATCCATGATGAGAGAGAACCATGGATCGGCTGCCTCCTGCACGCCCCCCACTGGGGATGGAGCCCGCAACCCGGGCATGTGCCCTGACTGGGAATCCAACCGTGACCTCCTGGTTCATAGGTCAACGCTCAACCACTGAGCCACGCCGGCCAGAATGGAATTTTTTTTTATGCTCAACCACTGAGCCACACTGGCCGGGCCAAACTGACATGTTCACTACTTTGAAGATAGAAACACGTTTCCTAAGACATAAACGAATAGCTAACACCTTTGAGTCCATTGAAATAAAAAACTTTTGGCCATTAAAAGACACCATATTTGCCCTAACCAGTTTGGCTCAGTGGATAGAGCGTCGGCCTGCAGACTGAAGGGTCCCAGGTTTGATTCCAGTCAAGGGCATGTACCTTGGTTGCGGGCACATCCCCAGTGGGGAGTGTGCAGGAGGCAGCTGATCGATGTTTCTCTCTCATCGATGTTTCTAACTCTCTATCCCTCTCCCTTCCTCTCTGTAAAAAATCAATAAAATATATTAAAAAAAAAGACACCATATTTGCAATACTTGTGAACCATCCAAGAATTTAGAATCTAGAATATAAAAAAACAAACAACTTCTATGTGTCAGTAAAGAATCATATCCAATCTAATTGTGCAAAAGACTCGAATGAGCACATGCAAATGGAGAAACCTTCTGAATATACATATATTCCATAAAAATATATTTTTTTAAAAAAGGAAAAAAACCCTGGTTTTGAACGTTTCTAGATTCGCCGGTCGTGGGCTGTTTTTCTTGTCTGTCCACTCCTTAACCTCCTGGGGCCCCTGTAACATGAGTCAGCCCTCAGTGCCACCGCGTTCGAGATACCTTCCGGCGCGAACATTCCCCGATACCGTGAAATAAACAGAACGTGGGCGGGTGATAGCGGCTCCATTTGGATCGGCTCCTCTTTAGATAATGGACTTGGAAGGCGTCCCAGAAACCGCTTCCTAAGCCCCAGCCCTGACAGCTCCATCTTTCTTTAGCCGCCGCCTCCCGAGGCTCGAGCCTTTCTATCCAGGCCTCTTACCTGGGGTCCCTCAGCAGCCTCGCACCTGTGTTGGTTTCTTGCCCTTTTTTACTTTTTAAATATATTTTTATTGATTTCAGGGAGGAAGGGAGAGGGGGAGAGAGAGAGAGAGAGAAGCATCCATGATGAGAGGGAATCACGGATCGGCTGCCTCCTGCACGCCCCACACTGGGGATCGAGCCCCCAACCCGGGCCTGTGCCCTGACCGGGAATCGAACCCTGACCTCCTGGTTCATAGGTTGATGCTCAACCACGGAGCCACACCGGCCGGGCGTGGTGTCCGTAATATTAAACCTGGAGTCGTCGCGTGAGGACGTGCTGTGCAGAGTGGGAATTTGCTGCGATCCAGAGCCTTTATGTTTTGTGCTCTGACCCACTTTCTCCGACTTGAATAAGATCCTGGATCAGAGAGACGGGTCAGAAGCCAAACGTTCCCCTTTTATGTTCGCTGGAGATTTGGGGGAGATTTTAGAAAGCTTTTAACATAACAATAAATTCTGATAAATCTCCACACCTTCCTATTCATCTTTTTTTTTTTTTTAAACACATAGTTGGTTATGTACGGTACGTAATTTATAGCCGAGATCAGCACATGCATTAGCGGAGCTGGAGATCGCGCCGTTCCGGGGGTGTGAGAACACATCTGCCGCGTGAACGGAGGCGAGGCGAGGCGGCAACTGCGTCCGACACATATTTCACGACCTGAAAAAGGAGTAAACGTGTAATGTCACCCAGGCGGGCGATGGAGACCCTGCAGCCGCAAGAATAGCAGCACGAGGATGCATTTTCGCATTTTTTTATGTTTTATTTATTTTTATTGATTTCAGAAAGGAAGGGAGGGAGAGAGAGAAACATCCATGATGAGCGAGAATCATGGATCGGCTGCCTCCTGCACGCCCCACACTGGGGACCGAGCCTGCAACCCGGGCATGTGCCCTGGATCTGAATCGAACCCGGGACCCTCCAGTCCGCAGGCCGATGGTCTGTCCACTGAGCCGCACCGGCCAGGGCCCAGCCTCACTATTTGAAATGGAAAGTGCCTGCCCCACAGTCCCAGTCTCCCCCACACAATCTGAGTTTATTTCCCAACACTCAGCACCTTCTCACGTACTAAGTAATGGATCACATTATTTCTTGCTATTTCTCTCTCCCCCTCCATCCCTCCCCGCCCCCCCCCCGCCCCCACCAGCTGTTGTAGCATCACCAAGACTTGGATTGGGGTCTGTTTTATTCATTTTCAGTATTTCAGGCGCTTAGAAAAGTGCCCGGTGTGTAGCAGACATGCCATTACCTGTTTATTGAATGATTGAATTCATGGATCCTTCGGGCCGATGGTCATGAAGTTCAACAGACTTTGCGCTGGAGAAAATTATTTCATGTCTGTCTGTTGATATTCCTGGGGGGGCGCTATTGTCCCACCAATGCTGCTTTTAAATTATTAGGTCTAATAATAAGTAGCACTGAATGGGCTTCTTATACTCTTCACATGCTTTGCGGGTCATTATGCCCTGGCAGTCTAATTTAGCATGTGATAGGTTAACTGTCACGTGACCACTGAATCTTGGCGAGGAAATAAAAATAACAATCTATTTCTACTCCTTCACGTATTCCGTTCTCTGGATTTAAGCTCGAGACTGGCCCGGCGTGTTCCCACTTGTTACAACAGGCCGTGTGTATATATCCAGCGACTGGCCGAACCTCTCGCCATTCGCAGGTGCCCATAAGTAGCTGATGACTTAATTTATTATAACACTTTAGCGTAGTTTTCACTAACCTGTCAAGGTTTACGGAGCATTTATAAGGTGAAATATTTAAATCAGACTACCTGGTTCTTTTTTAGCCCCGAAGAAAGGGAAATGTAGAGACCCCTAAGAAATGAATATATTTTAAAAGTAGTTTAGTTTTTTTAGAATATTTTTTTAAATTGTGGAATGATCTCTGGTTCACTTAAAAGGTCTTTTTCTCTAGCTCTCGAGGCGTGGATTTTATTAGCTTAGTTATCTTCGTGTCCAAGAGGGGCTGCTAATAGATCATTTTTTGCAACACGGTCATTTTTCCTCCGGACTGAAAACGCGTTTGGGTGTGTGGTTGTGTCTAGTGTGTCGCTTCTGGGAGTTGGCTTCTGTGCTTTAGGTTAGCACACAAAAGCGCACCCCGACTTCCTGTTCCCCAGCCTGCAAAGAGCTGCTCCACGGACCCCCTCTGCCCTGAACAATCTTTTTGAGCGTTTATTATTACTAGTTTTAATTCTCACCCGAAGATATTTTTTCTGTTGATTTTTAGAGAGAGTGGAAGGGAGAAAGGGAGAGAGAGAGAGACACATCGATTGGTTGCCTCCCACATGCACCTGCAACCCGGGTACGTGCCCTTGACCGGGATCAAACCAGCGTGCGACCCTTCAGTGCTCGGGCTGATGAACTGGACTGAAAAGCCAAATAGGAAAATTTACGTAAACGCCATCATCTTAGAGCATTTCTTTAAAAACTTACTGCCGGCTCATTTTCTGTGCTGTCTCGGGCACTTTCGTTGTTATTCGCAGTGTTTCTTGTCATTCCTCTCAATACCAAGTCACTGTTTCAAAACTCATGTCTTCCAATGACCTAGGCCAGTGGTCGGCAAACTCATCAGTCCACAGAGCCAAATATCAACAGTACAACGATTGAAATCTCTTTTGAGAGCCAAATTTTTTAAACTGAAACTATATAGGTAGGTACACTGTTATTCACTAATTAGGGTCCTCCTAAGGCTTAGGAAGAGCCACACTCAAGGGGCCAAAGAGCCGCATGTGGCTCGCGAGCCGCAGTTTGCCGACCACGGGCCTAGGGATGTGTGTTTCCTAACCGTTACCCAAGGTTAAGGCCTTCATAAAACCATCGCTTTCCAACACAGGCTGTTTTCTCGTCCACAATTTATTTCTGTGCCACGGTAGCCAAACCTGTTCTTATCTTTTTCTTTTTTTTTTTTCTTTTTTTCACTGTGAAATGCGAGGGAGTTAGTAGAGGGGTGTGTGGCCGGGAACCAACTCCACTTGGAGGGGAAAAGAAGCTGTTGTTGAGGCAAAAATAGAAAAAGGGAGTTGGGAGAACTCTTGCCCTTCAGCATTCCCGCTGTGAGGCCCACGGCCCAGCTCCCCCCGGGGGTGCCTGTGTTTGTGTGGGCGCTCATACTACGTGGGGGTGCGCGCCCCCAGACCCATCCTCGTGAAGCATGCGGCTGAGCCGTGTCCGGCCGTCCCTGGCGGGCTTGGCGGCCCGGTCGGCGATAACAGAGGTGTTTAGGCGGCTGATGGATGGCCGTTGGGTCGCACGGCAGGGCCGTCACCCCCAGCGCTCACTCGCCCCCAGAAACGCGCCATCAGGGGATGGTCGGGGATTTATCTCTCTCCAGACCTGAGCCGACCCACTCCAAGTAAAAGGGGGGGATTATTTCCAGTAAACACAGAAATGGAAACCTTTTAGAAAGTCCCGCGGTCTTAATCTCTTCAGGCGAGTGGAGGCCTTTAAAAGGATGCCTTCGCTGGGGACGGATCGCTTTAAATTTATCTCTCTGCCTCGCCTTGTGTGTGTGTGTGTGTGTTTTTTCAAAAGGATGCTTGATGGATAAAGCTGGGCTGGGAATGGGTGCAGGCCGAATGTTGCAAGTGCTTTCAATCGCTTTTCTTACGAATTAGCCATTTATTCTGTGGATCAGGGATGCCCGCGTTAGAAGTGACTGCCTCTGACCTAAGGGAGGATGGAATGAATAATTCTACACATGACAGCCCGGCCATGATGGTGAGCGTCGACCTAGGAACCAGGAGGTCACGGTTCCATTCCCGGTCAGGGCACATGCCCGGGTTGCGGGCTCCATCCCCAGTGTGGGGCGTGCTGGAGGCAGCCGATTGATGAGTCTCTCACCATGGATGTTTCTATGTCTCTCCCTCTCCCTTCCTCTCTGAAATCGATACAAGTATATTTTTTAAAAAGAGAGGTGTACTTACTTGTTGGTAAGTGGTTCGAATCACCTCTGCTGTGTTATACTTCGGGACAGGATGGGTTAGATGAGGGTGCTGAGTTTTTCTGGAGGAACTTGATCTCCATGGTACAGGGGTCTGACACCCGTTGGATGCTGCCTGAGTCAATGACTGTGCAATGAAGCCCATCCATCAGGTTAAGTTCATGTAAGGTTTGCAGCTACGCCCCGAGCGGATACTGTGGCCACGGAGACCGGGAGGGGCCAGCAGGCCTCCGTGCAGACTCCTGTGCACTGAGCAAGCTGCCCAGAGCCTGGATCGTTCTTCCTGCACTTTCCATATGTATATACATTGATTGATTGATTGATTGGTTGGTTGATTTCAGAGAAGGGGAGAGAGAGAAATAAAAACATCAATGATGAGAGAGAATCATGGACCGGCTGCCTCCTGCACGCCCCCTACTGGGGATGGAGCCCGCAACCCGGGCATGTGCCCTGACCGGGAATCGAACCGTGACCTCCTGGTTCCTAGGTCGACACTCAGCCACTGAGCCACGCCCGCCGGGCCCTCCTGCACATTCTGATTCCCATTTGTGAAGTTAGTCTGTGCATTTATATTTAAATAATGAACAGCAGTTCCTGAGTACTGGCTATTGCAATTCTGGGAGCGTTTTCTTGTCCTGTGTCTGTGTGTGTGCATATATATATATACTAGAGGCCCGTTGCACGAAGATTTGCACAATAGGCCTTCCTTCCCCTGGCTGCCGGCACCGGTTTCCCTCCGGTACCTGGGACCCAGGCCTTTGGTCCAGCTGCAGCGGAGAAGACAAGCCTCTTCAGTCTTCAGTCATCTTCAGTCTTCATTTGGCCGGAACCTTCAGTCTTCGCTCCGCGCCTGTGTATGCACATTAACCGCCATCTTTGTTGGGTTAATTTGCATACTCATCCTGATTGACTGGTGGGCGTAGCGGAGTGATGACCAATTTACATATTTCTCTTTTATTAGTGTAGATGTGTGTATTTGTGCGTGTGCATAATTATGTTTCTATGAGTGTCTGCTGCTCATGTCTTTGATATACGTGAGCCTTTACTCTGAGGAGAGCCATGACGATGAACCCATCCGACTCTCTTCCATTTCAGTTCATCGACGGGCGGCTGGCGAAGCTGAATGCAGGAAAGGGCTTCTCCGACGCCTTCGAGGAGGAGATCACCTCCGGGGGCTTTTCTGGAGGTAAAGCTGACGTCCCGGGCGAGGACCCGACTTCCAGAGGATCCGTCTGCCCTTGTCTGGCAGCAGCGGCGTGATGCCCCGCTGTTCCCCCCTGGACGGGTGATGTGTCAGAGGCATCTCAGAGGGGCTGCCCCATCCACTTCCTTTGCCTGTTCCCGTGACTCGCGGCGTTGGGGTGGAGGGGCTCCCGAAGGGGTGATGGTTTGGGTCACCGCCCGCTATTTCTGGACATAAACACACAGACAGGCAGGCGCTGGGCTCTCCCTGCCCGTCCTCCGGGCTAGTGCTGTCTGCTCGGATGTACGAGGGATGCTACTGCCCGGGGAGCAGGCCACAGACAGGGTACATGGCCCTGCCCTCTGAAAAGAGAGGTTGGAACCACGTGGCTTCTAGATCGCTCAGTGAGTCGATTTTGTAGAGGTCTTGACCTTCTTTTGTTGTTGTTGTTCATCCTCACCTGAGGATCTTTTCCCATGGATTTTTTTTTTTTTCAGAGAGAGTGGTAGGGAAGGGGAGAGACACAGAGAGAGAAACATCGATGTGAGAGATGTCAGCATCGATGGGTTGCCTCCCGCGCACATCCGTCCTGACCAGGGCCAGGGGTGAATCCTGCAACCTAGGGACCTGCTCTTGACCGAACTTGAACCCGGGACCCTTCCGCCCGCAGGCTGACGCTCTGTGCACTGAGCCACACCGGCCAGGGCTCATCATGGATGTTTCTCGCTCTCTGTCCCTCTCCCTTCCTCTCTGAAATGGATAAAAAAATATTTTTTAAAAAGACGTGAAAAGACAAATAGCACTCTTCTAAAGATGCCCCCACGGTGAATTTTACTCTTAAATGAGATCTATTTATGCAGCACGGAAACAGAAAAGCCATGGCCGCCGTCTACCCGTTCGTTAAAGACGTAAAGGGAGCCCAGCGAGGTGGGCCTTGGCCCGAGGGAAGCACAGAATTTCCCTGGAAGCACTTATTTTTTGGGGAAAAACTTAGCGGACTTGACTATGCAGGTGCCGAACCCAGAGCCCCCCACCTCCCTGCTCCCCTCTGCTCACTGGGAGGAATTTAGCTTCAATGGGACTTTTGTGTTAAAATAAGACTTATTTTTTTTTATACTTTTCACCTCAGACAAGCAAAGCATTGTCAGCTCCTGGACAAATTGCTGGAGGCATCGATTGGGTATTTACATAACTGCCGTCTCATTATCTCTGTGCCCCGTGGGGCTGGCGGCACCCCTGGGAGGGAGGGTGACATGGGTGACAGTAATAGGGCGTGAGCCTTTCATGTGGATGGATTGTGAGTGGGTCCCCATTCCTGGCGATGGAGCCGGGCCAGGTGGCTTTGGTGGCTTCCCCACGGGAGGGGCGGTCCCTACCGATGTCACTGTCGGTCTTATTGTTTGAAAAAAGGATGGGGGGATAGCGGTCCCCAGCGGGCACCTGACTTGGGGACTGCATTTTCAGTACGACTCCGTGCCAACCACTTCGTTGTTCTTAAAAAACGCAAAGGGTTTTGGATTCTTCTTTTTTTGATCTATTTTTTTTTTTAAATTGATTTCAGAGAGGAAGGGAGGAGAGAGATAGAAACATCAGTGATGAGAGAGAATCATGGGTCGGCTGCCTCCTGCACGCCCCACACTGGGAATCGGCCTGCAACCCGGGCACGTGCCCTGACCGGGAATCGAACCGTGACCTCCTGGTTCATAGGTCGACGCTCAGCCACTGAGCCACGCCGGCCGGGCAGTCCTGGTTCCCGTCTTGCTGACGAAGGTAGCGGAGGAATTTGAAGGGGCGGTAACTAATCATCAGTTTGAGTGTCATTTTTTTGGCCGCGCCGAGCAATTTAGACCAATTTGCATGTTTGGGGATAAGACGCTCCAAATGACTGGAATTTAAACAGATACATAGGAGAGACAGGCTTGGCGCAGACCAGAGAGAGATTCTGTCCTTGAGGGTGAGAAAAATCGCTGTTTTGATGAACAGGAACAATGTGAAGAATTTTCTCAAAAAATGCTGATTCTTCCCATAATCCTGTTACTCGAACAGAAGGTCTCGGGGATTTTTTTTTCTCCTTCTTTTTTTCTTTCGTTTTTGGCATTCAGATGCATTTTTTAAGGAGAAAAACAGCCTTTAAAAAAGAACATTTTCAAAGAATAATGTGCTTGTCTCTTCAATTTTGTGCTAATAGGAGCCTAGGATCTTAAAAGCAGGAAATTTAAAGAGACAAGCATCCTTTAGACATTTAAAAAAAAAAAAAAAAGGTTTCTACCTAAATTATACACCATGTTTTCCTATCATCTTAGGCAGTTTTCTTAGGGACTTCTAGTTTGCCCTGCGCCACATAATTCCAGATTCTTTTTTTTAAAAAATATATTTTTATTGATTTCAGAGACGAAGGGAGAGGCAGAGAGAGAGATAGAAACATCCGTGATGAGAGAGAATCACGATCGGCTGCCTCCTGCACGCCCCACACAGGGGACCGAGCCGGCAACCCGGGCACGTGCCCCGACCGGGGAATTGAACGGTGACCCCCTGGTTCATAGGTCGACTCTCAACCCACTGAGCCACACCGGCTGGGCCCAATTTTAGAGTTGAAAAGTACAACTCCAATAATGTCACGGAGGTAAAAAACAAAATTTGAGAACAAAATTGGAAAGGGCTGAATGTGAGCTATAGATATAATGTTATTTGGGTCAATTTTGTCTCAATTTTAAAAAGATGAACTGTTTTAGGGATTTTGTGTACCAGATACTCGCTGGGTAGCTGTTGGGACGTTGCTTTCTTAAGCATTTAAACAACCCGGAAGGCAGCCCGGCCAGCGTGGCTCAGTGGTTGAGCATCGACCTAGGAACCAGGAGGTCACGGTTTGATTCCCGGTCAGGGCACATGCCCGGGTTGTGGGCTCCATCCCCAGTGTGGGGTGTGCAGGAGGCAGCCGATCCATGATTCTCTCTCATCATGGATGTTTCTCACTCTCACTCTTCCTCTCTGTTCCTCTCTGAAATCAATAAAAAATATATTTGAAGAAATTAAACAACCAGGAAGGCCGATGAAATCTGACTCAGTTGCTATAGGGCAGTGATGGCGAACCCATGACACGCGTGTCAGAGGTGACACTCGAACTCATTTTTTGGTTGATTTTTCTTTGTTAAAAGGCATTTAAATATATAAAATAAATATCAAAAATATAAGTTTTACTATGGTTGCAAATATCAAAAAATTTCTATATGAGACACGGCACCAGAGTGAAGTTAGGGCTTTTCAAAATGCTGACACGCCGAGCTCAAAAGGTTCGCCATCACTGCTATAGGGCATGCCTTGCGGTGAGCTGTGAGGCTTCTGATATCCTTTTATCGACTAAATGGCCATCTTTGGAGCCGGATATGCGATCACTGGTGTTATTAGGACTGGATTTGTCTGCCTCTGAGCTTTCCAGTGACTGTGATGACCAGCGGCCTAGAAGCCGCCTCCTGGCGTGAATCTCTCACCTTTGGGTTCTCAACTCGAGACTATTTTCCAACGGGAGCCGCAGTTGAATTGCATTGAAATCAAAGTTGTTGTCCATGAAAATGAATATCGAACATCCATAGAGAATCTTTTTGGTTCTCAAGGTCCTCTGCATGTCTCAATTTGCTTATAGTTGCTGTTTTTTTTATCTTATCCACTTGAAATATTATCTTAAAACGAACCTGATTGTGTTAAAGAGGCAAAAAAAAAAAAAAGGTAAAAGAGACACAAAACATTGAAAAATCAGTTTTTAAAAGATGTGGACATCTTGGCTTTCGAAAGAGAGATGGTATTTTTCCCTCTCTGAAGACACTATTAAAAAATGGAAGACGGCAGCATATTTTAACGTCTTGGCTTCATCTGTGAGTGAAGAAAAAGTGTCTGTGCTTAAAAATAGTGATTATTGTTCGAAGAATTAGAACAGTTTATTCTTTCTCATGCATTTCATGGCTGCTTCCACCGCATTGCAGAAAAGTAAAAGTTGCTTGCTAAATTCCTGGCAGTCCTCGTTCTTGATAAATTTTGGTCCGTGGATTTATTTCTGGTCACATATTCCTGACATCTTATTTCTGCCTCTCCCAGGGAGCCCGAGGTCCTATCAGCAATGGGTACATACGGTCAAGGTAATGATAGCCTTCCAGAATTTCTTCTCCTTCCACTCTCTATCTATGGGTTATGTTCAGCCAAAGTATGCAGTATATTGGCGGTCTTTTCAATGTGTTTGTCCTCACATTTAAACATCTTTGTTTCATGCTTATAGCTTGCTTGTATTTATGAATACGATTTCCAATGGAAAGCTTTTGTCCGGAGAGAGATGGCTTCTTTTGAAAAAAGCAAGATTTCACTGCCACCTTGAATTCTATTCCAAAACAGGGAATTGGGTGGAATAGTGAGATTTGGGGGGGACTTTTTCCCTTGCCGGTACAGTATTTTTGTTAATACGGTTTTTTCAAATATATAAAGCCCCTCTTCCACAAATCGAGACTTTATTGACCAACGTGAGAACAGTCGTATTTCTTTTTTTATGACGCTTTAAATATAGACCTGTTACTGGCCGTATCGCTGCAGTAGGCTTCACCTTCCAAGGTGAGCCCAGCTGGCGTGGCTCAGTGGTTGAGCGTCGACCTATGAACCAGGAGGTCACGGTTCGATTCCCGGCCAAGGGCACAGGCCCGGGTTGTGGGCTCCATCCGCAGTGGGGGCGAGGGTGCAGGAGGCAGCGGGTCCATGAGTCTCTCTCATCGTTGCTGTTTTGTAGGCCTTCGTTTGACCTGTGACGAAAGCTTTTTTTCTACCCTATCACCTGTGCTTGTTTCCAGGGCCATCTGGTCGACCGTATTTGGAACTGAGTGTCTGTGCTTCCTTTGCAGAAAGGAGGCGCCCTGTTCAACTCCGCGATGACCAGAGCGACCCCCGCGGTGCGGACGGCGTATAAATACGTGAGTCTTCATCGGATACTTAAAAACCCCACCGGTAAAATTTTACGGCATGGTTTTAGCCGAGAGACCTGTCAGTCTCATATGTTCCCTACTTTCCTTTGAAATACGATGTTCAAAAATCAGAAATAACACCGAACAAAAGAAATCCAAGTGCTCAAATGGTGTCATTATATAGAGAGGATATCTATAATAATAAAAGAGTCATATGCTAATTAGACCGGACGTCTTCCGGACATCATTCCGGATGTCCTTCCTGACGAAGCTGGGGCTGGAGGGAAGCCAGCCGGCTCCTAGGTGCCTGCGGGTGGCCCGGGAGAAGCCAGCCTGGCTCCTGGGTGCTGGAGGGAAACCAGTGCCAGCAGCCGGGGGAAGAAGCCCTACTCTTGCACAAATTTTCCTGCATCGGGCCTCTAGTTTTATTTATAAAAGCTACCGATGGCTCCTCATGTTATTTTTAAACGTATTTGTATTGATTTCAGAGAGGCAGGGAAAGGGGGAGAGAGATAAAAACATCAGTGGTGACAGAGAATCATGGATCGGCTGCCTCCTGCACGCCCCACACTGGGGATCGAGCCCACAACCCACCCAGGCATGTGCCCTGACCGGGAATCGAACCCAGTCTGCAGGCCGACGCTCTACCCACTGAGCCAAACCGGCCAGGGCTTGGGGACGCGTTCTTCAAGTGGTCAAAGGAGCGTTCCGAGCCCGACACTCGTATTCTTGTTTTCCAGGCAAAAAGCCACGCCAAGCAGGGCATCAAGGAAGTGAAGAGCAAACTCAAACACAAGGTGGGCCTCTCCTCCCGCTTGCGAGAGGTTGGCGCTCAGACCTCGCAGGTCGCACGGGATGTGTGCTTTTAATGACTTTTGAAGTGTGCTTAGCCCTGTGTTCGGGAATGGATTTTTCATAACAAGCCCCCTGGAAACCGCCTGCCTGCGTGCGCCCGCGGAGCCATCTCTTTATCGCTTGCATATTTTATCACAGGGCTCCCGAGATCTTCAAAGATGCTCTAACAGGATGTGTTGTTCCCATAAAGTTCATGGCCTTGGTATATCTATCCCTCCCAAAATGCTTTGCTGCGAGCCGATCATTTTTTATGTATTTAAAAAAAAATTTGTTTTAAGTAGATATTTTTATTGATTTCAGAGAGGAAGGGACAGGCAGAGAGGGAGAGAAACATGAATGATGAGAGGGAGTCATCGATCGGCTGCCTCCTGCGCACCCCCTACTGGGGATCGAGCCTGCAACCCGGGCATGTGCCTTGACCGGGAATCGAACCATGACCTCCTGGTTCATAGGTCGACGCTCAACCACTGAGCCACACCGGCCGCCCGGGTGAAGCTAATGATTTTTTAAAAAGATGATTTGGGGTGCAGAATTAAGCCATGAATGCCCTCCTTTGGTCTATGACAGCGGTTCTCAACCTGTGGGTCGCGACCCCTTTGGGGGTCGAATGACCCTTTCACAGGGGTCGCCTAAGACCATCGGAAAACATATTGAATATATAATTACATATTGTGTTTGTGATTAATCACTATGCTTTAATTATGTTCAATTTGTAACAATGAAAATACATCCTGCATATCAGATATTTGCATGACGATTCATAACAGTAGCAAAATGAGTTATGAAGTAGCAACGAAAATAATTTTATGGTTGGGGGTCCCCACAACATGAGGAACTGTATGAAAGGGTCGCGGCATGAGGAAGGTTGAGAACCACTGGTCTATGAGCTCTTTCCAATAGTAGCTGCTTTACACTACGCTTGTCCTTCATTGACAAAGGTTTGTGTTTGAGGGTGAGTACTGGTCTCTTCGAATATCGCATGTATGTGCATATTTATGCGTCTGTGTGTATGTTTGATTTGATTACATATTACATCTCGGCAGATTTTTTTTATCGGTTGTTCTGTTTTGAAATTGTACCTTTGGAGAACAATAATCCCACTCAAAACTTTCATGGTCGAGACGGAGGGTGAATGATCCTCGTACGCCTTTGACTCAAATTACTCAAAATAGAGATTATTCTGGAAATTGTTCATTCACGACACAGAACAATGCAGGGGGACCTGTTTTTCTAACTAGAGCCTTTACGCGTGCAGCCCGGGTGTTGTTTTGTTATTTACGTCTGTGTCTGACGGATACTTGGTTGAGGAACCCAAGAGCGTCCTTCAGTCATCCGAGCAGCGTTCTGACATCCCTCCTCATTTCTCCCCCGTGCAGGAGACTGAGGACGAGTGTGGGGCCTACTCCAGTTTCGTACTGTACACCCCCGTCTACACCCTACACAACCACAAGGGGCCAAGCGGGGAGAAGCGCAGGCTCACCCAGGTACGGCTGCCCGCCCGCGGGCCTCCAGGAGGGGGCGTGCGGGAGGCAGCGATCCATGTTTCTTCTCTTTCCTTCTCCCTTCCTCTCTCTCTAAAAAAAAAAAAATAAGTAAAAATTATAAACTATAAATAACTAGTTAACAGTGTTAAATAATAATAATAATGATGGCCGAACCAGCGTGCAGGAGGCAGCTGATCGATAACTAGTTAACAGTGTTAAATAATAATAATGATGATGAAGATGATGATGATGATGACTCCGCCAGTGAGGCAAGCTGTTCTACCCACTGCCATCAGCTGGGAAACATTTACAGTGGGGCCTTGACTTACGAGTTTAATTCGTTCCGAGACCGAGCTCGTTAACTCAAATTACTCTGTCAACTCCATGCAAAAAATCGGCCAAGAGACAGCTGGTATCTCAAAAACCTCGTTAGTCGGGACACTCGTAAGTCAAGGCCCCACTGAACTCACTCGTAAACGACTGATGGGTTTGTAATCAGCGTCTCAGTCTTGCTCCCAGGATGTTCAGTTCCTGTCCGTCTCAGGCTCTCGCCTCTTATAAAGTTAACTTTCGCAGAAGATGGGCTGCCTTGATATGGGAGCCTGTGGGTTGTATTTACCGCGGGGAACGGGTTTCTATGTGAAGAGGAGGGGTTCTCTTACCCCCGTCTCCCCGAGTGGAATAACATCAGGGTCTGGGCACGGTGAGATCTTCAGGGAGGTAGGGGAGCATTTCTCGGGACAGATGCAGGTGGCGAAAGGCGGAATCTAGAATCAGCAAACTCTCAGGGAAGGCGGGGTCCCGGTGCCCACGGGTCTGCAGGGGGTACACAGAGCAGCAGGGATGGAACGGGGGACAGAACTGGGACCCGGGTTCCGAAGCCGCTGCCTGACCTTTGCGTTGGGAGGAGTCAGGCGGGGCCCTGAGGGACCAGGCTGTGGGGTTCCGAGCCAGACACCCCTGACTTTGAAGAAGGTCCTAGCCTTTGGCACTGAGCAGAACACAGCGTCCCCGAGCCTCGCTTCGGGCGCCTGGGAGATGGGGATGACAACCCCTGTCATTTCCCAGGGTGCCGCTGGCATTAGAGAGAGTCTGTGTACACAGACACACGCGTCCTTAGCTTCTGGCCGCGCATAGCCACGCATCTGCTCGCTGTCTTCCCTCCCGGTAGCCACTTCCCAGCGTCACACAATAACCCTCCAGTCACTAACGTCACGGGGCCCTAACGGTGTCTGTTTCCATTTAAGTAGGAATGACTTGAAGACCCCAGGTTATGATTTGAAAAGACATATACAACTCTTGCTTGGCTGGCGTGGCTCCGTGGTTGAGCATCGACCTATGAACCAGGAGGTCACGGTTCGATTCCTGGTCAGGGCACAGGCCCGGGTTGTGGGCTCGATCCCCAGTAGGGGGCGTGCAGGAGACAGCCGGTCCATGATTCTCTCTCATCATGGATGTTTCTATCTCTCTGCCTGCCCCTTCCTCTCTGAAATCAATACATACACATTGAGAGCAAAAAAAAAAAAATCTATATACAGCTCTTGTACCAAGAAACATCTTGGCCTGGCAGACCTTGAGGATGTCGTTTTGTTGTCAGTGAAATTATCGAAATAAAGGATCTGGACTCGCCCGTTGGCCTGCCCCGTGCGCCCCGGGCCTCAGCTCCGGGAAGAGCCTTCCACCCCCAGTTTGCAGCCGGACTCGTGTCGCTGAAGCACTTAATTTTCATCTGTTCTGCAGAGGATGTGAACAAGATGGTGGTGATTGTTGACATTCCGAGAGTGTTTAGAAGTGAAAAAGGCACGTTTCCCCACCTGGGTCCCGTGGATGAAAATGGACCGACCCCCGGACTGTGTGGGCTCCGAGCCCGCGTGCGTGACTCGCTCGTGGCCGGAACCGATTGCGCATCTCCTACCCCCCCGGCCCGTGGGAACCGCGTGGGGAGGTGCCGATGGGCCTGGCTGGTTCCCGTTTCGTTGATGAGGCTGCGAGGCATGTCTGGGGGACAGCTCCCAATTAGCGCTGCATCTGTACAGCCCAGGCCTGGCCCCTTCGGTGCGGGGTTGGCCGCGGCCCCAGGCTAACGAGGCCCCGGGGAGGGGGTCCCTCGTGTCATGGCAGCCACCGCCGGTGGGTCCAGTGAGGATCCGAGCTGCACGTTGGTTTTAATCTGGGCCACACACGGGCCTTCTCTCGTCCCTGCGATGACAGAACAAGACCCTGTAGGCTTGGCGGGCGATGTTTGGACAGCGTCTGTCCTCTAGATGCTGCCTTATATGCTGCCCTGCAGAAACCAAGGGGCATTTTCCAAGGATGAGAAATCCCTTGAAAGGATACATCGAATGTGTGTGCATCAAAGAGACGGCTGCATTTGTAATCATAGTAGCCTGTCTTAGTCCAGTAATAGTATGTGTGTGTCTGTGTGTGTCTGCATCTCCCTCTCTCTCTCTCTCTCTCTCTCACACACACACACACACACACACACACACAGAGCAGCAGCAGCAGGACGGGTGCACCGTAGGCGGGAGCTTAGCTGTGCTGCACGTCAACATTAGCAGATGGATGGCCCCAAGCAAACCAAACACCGCACCCCCATCCCCTGCGAGGGCAGGGCTGGGCTCTTTGTTGTGAGGCCTTCGGAAACCCTGGCAGGCGTCGCTCTTAACTCCTTCACGGCTGGGCCCCAGAGCCGTCCGCCCGGTATCTTTCCAACCCGTCCAGCTAATGGTGCCGAAGCTGCACAGACAGTGTAGAGCAGGGGTCCTCAAACTACGGCCCGCGGGCCACATGCAAATACAAATATTGTATTTGTTCCCGTTTTGTTTTTTTACTTCAAAATAAGATATGTGCAGTGTGCGTAGGAATTTGTTCATAGCTTTCTTTTGAAATTATAGTCCGGCCCTCCAACGGTCTGAGGGACAGTGAACTGGCCCCCTGTTTAAAAAGTTTGAGGACCCCTGATATAGAGGAAGGTTATTTCTCCGCCTGAACCATGACAGAAAGGGGGGTGTCCCTGCGGGTGAACAGCACCCCCCCCCTTGGAATGCAGTCAAGACTCTCACCCACACGCAGTGTGTACAAGTGGACGTGTGTTTAATAGCTGTAGTTTCCACGAATAACGTACTGTTCCACGCGTGGTCATTCTATTTTTTTAAAATATATTTCTTTATTGATTTCAGAGAGGAAGGGAGAGGGAGAGAGAGAGAGAGAAAATCAATGACGAGAGAGAATCATTGATCGGCTGCCTTCTGCACGCCCCCTACTGGGGATCGAGCCCGCAACCCAGGCATGTGCCCTTGTCCGGAATCGAACCTGGGGCCCTTCAGTCCACAGGGTGACCCTCTATCCACTGAGCCAAGCCGGCCGGGGCATTTGTTCTGTTTTTAAGGGTCTTTACGTCGAGGCTCGTGGTTTGAGATACGAGTAGTTTTCTCTCCAGTGTATACAGAGGGGAGGTGTGCGCACTAGCAGGTACCATTTGGTGATGTTCCCTGTTCTACCCATCGTGCGAGGTGTTACGCACACCTCGGAGGAAACTTGGCCATCTTTTTGGGTCCTTATGACTTGATTGGTGGATACAACCTGCTCCTGGATTGGCGGGATATGGCACACGCTCATTTGATAGCGGATCAGCCGTAATTTCACCTGTAAGGAAGGTGCGTGGAGGTCCCATGTGCCTGTTTGGCAAGGAAACACTTGCGAGCCGGGCATTTCAAAGCCCCCTTCTTGGTTGAAGGGGGACCGGAAAGAATCCCAGGACGGAAGCCTGTCTTTAAAAATAGAAGCAAGCCGGTGGCTGACGTCGTACAGATAATCTCGTATGTTAATGCGCAACACGGAGGACAGTAACTTTCTGTGAAATTTCTAGGAAAACACAGGCGCATGCTCTCAATGATCGAGCTCCCAAATTGGCCCACTCGCGCCTCGTAGGCTGTGGATGACCGTCTCGTATTTAGGACACACGTTCCTTCATTGGAATTCAGCGGACGCCGGGAATAAAATGAATGTGGTTATAGGTTGCGTTTCCCGCTCAGGTGACTTAGTAGATTCGAGAACATGGCAAGCAGGCCCGTTGCATAGCGTTGCTTTATTGGTCAAGAAAGAAATGGCTCGGCCATCGGTTTGGAAGTAGCCAGTCGCTCTTCCGACCAAGGAAAAGCGATTGTCAGTCGCCAGGAGAAAGATCACCGTGACCTGGGGGTGGGGCCTGTGTGTAGGAAGGAGGCGGCCCAGGTCATTGGAACGAAGGCTTCTTATACATTTTGCAAAATTAAAAGAAAAAAACGTTTAACCAAATCGTGATAAGTAAAAAAAAACACCTGTTGTTGTTTTTTTAATTTAAATTTTTAGCACTTTGTTTAATTTGACTCGGTAGTGAGAGTACTGTTGTTATGATCAAGCTGAAATGTTGAGTGAAGGTGATCAGGAAATCTATTCGCAAGTTCTAAATGATAAAAAATTTTTTGAAATGTTTTATGTATGTTCCCATTTAAAGACGCCCAAGAAAAATTGTCTGAATTTTCTAAACACCTTTTAGCATCTTTGTCCCAAAATCACTCTTTCCATAGCATATATATAGTCTAATTTATGCTAATTTTTAAATTTGATCTTTTAAGGCCAATATTGAACAGTATTGGTGCCACATTGTTAATTTTAAAGAAAGCTATTTTCTCCTGTTTTTTTTTAAATTGTTGAAATAATATTAATTTCCAGCATGTCACATACGATTGTAGTCCAACTTGTGCTCCATAGCTCCCTCCCCAACATCCAGTTATGGGTTACAAGGCTGCCCTCTAGTGGGCATGAGATGATACTTCCTTTCCTTGAAAGATGATGGTTGTGCAAGACAAAATTCATATGATAAAATTTACCTTTCAGGGTAGCCTTTTTAAAACATTTAAATTTATTTTTTATTTTTTTAAAATATTGATCTCAGAAAGGAAGGGAGAGGGAGAGAAATATAGAAACATCAACGATGAGAGAGAATCGTTGATCGGCCGCCTCCTGCACGCCCCACACTGGGGATGGAGCCCACAACCCGGGCCTGTGCCCTGACGGGGAATCGAACCCTGACCTCCTGGTTCCTAGGTCGACGCTCACGCCACGCCGGCCGGGCTAATAGAACCTTATCATAATCTGAACTGGATTGATGTCTCCTGCACCTTGCTATAGTTCCTACCTACAAAAATGACGACACGTGTGCTTTTAAAGCTCCTTTCCGATTCCGAACCGCATGCGTCTCTTTAAGGTTGTTGCCATTATAATTCCGTAGAGTTCTAAAGTTTATTCTCACGTTCTTTCATGCAAGTCCGAGCATCCAGAATGCATAAGCTCGGGTTTGCTGCGGAGTCTGGGTAGGCAAGGTAACACCAAAGAGCCTCAGTCACTCCAACTCTAAAATGCGGACAGTAGCACAGAGGACCTGCCTTCAAACACATCACATGTCACAGCATCTTAATTTTATAAAGTCTAAACAACCATATTTGCCCATTCCTCTGCCTATGTCCCTCATCTTCCCCTCTCTCCCCTCCCCGCTCCCTCACACACACCCTCTAACCCCCTTATGAATTGGAATGGACCCAGCCCTTTGCCTGATTGGGGTCTGCCTGCCATCTAGCGGCAGAAATGGTAACTGCAGGAGGAGCAGGGGGTGGTCAGGACAGGAAGTTGGGTGGTTCTGTGACTTGGGCCTGCTGCCTCCCGGAAACCATTGCACCCGAGTCCCGGGCCAACGGAACCGGGAATGCAGACACCACCTGGGATGCTTGTGTGAATAAGCTGCCATTTTTCTCTCTCTTGAGTGTTGATCGAATCAATTGTAAGCCAAGTATTCCCAGAACAAACAGAGACCGACCGACCGACCAACCAACCGACCGGGTGGGTGGGCTGCGTATACACCTGTTCAGTCCTCTCGTTTGTTCTTGGTTTTGAGTGTGAGGTGGGGGAAGTGTTGAGATAAATGACCCCTTACTCTCTCCTCTCTTCCTGCCCAGCTCACCAAGTTATTGGGTCACGTTGAAAACCCTGAATGCGTATTGCTTTTAAAAGTGTTTCTGACCGCCCGGCCGGCGTGGCTCAGTGGTTGAGCATCAACCTATGAACCAGGAGGTCAGGGTTCGATTCCCAATCAGGCCACCTGCCCGGGTTGCGGGCTCGATCCCCAGTGGGGGGCGTGCAGGAGGCAGCCGATCTGTAATTCTCTCTCATCATGGATGTTTCTGTCTCTCTCTCGCTCTCCCTTCCTCTCTGAAATCGATCTTTTAAAAACATGTTCCTTTGCAAATCAAATCGTTCCTCGACATGTGACTGGGAAGGAGGCGTGCTGTCCCCCTAACGCCGTCTGTCCGTCCCTCCCTCCCGCAGACTCGCTTACACAGGCCCCTCAAGAGCCTCGATGACGGCGCGCCGTGTGAGGACGAGGACGAGGACATGGACCGCGCCAGCAAGTCAGTAATGGGGTTGGATGACCTCCCAGCCGCGGGGGCTTGAGGCAGAGGTCGTAGGTCACACAGGGTACCCCCAGGCATCGGATGCACCCCCTGTGATGCTCTTCACCCGTCTCGTGGGGGGTGAATCTTGAGACGGGAGAGCAGGGTGGGCCTGGGCTGGCTGGTTCTTGGGAAGCAAGGATGCCTGCGGATGTCGGGGACGTGGGGGGAGGGGGGAGTAGGAAGCCACCCACGTTAGACCCTGCCCCCCCCCACCCCCCCAGGAGGGGCAGGTTCAGCATCAGAAACAGGGAAAGTCCCTGGAAACAGACTGAGCTGGGGGATCGGAGAGACTTAACGTCTACGGTGCAACCCACAGTGGTGAAGAGGAATTTTACCATAAAATAAGGGAAATAATCATAATAATAGTGTCTGTGAGACTTCTCAATGTTAACATACAAGGGCGTGACCAATGAACATTCCCTTTCGCTGTTCAATCTTGGTCTGTACAAGGGAATATGCATTCTTCCCTAAGACGGGCGACGAAATAAGTACAAGGATAAACCATATAAATATATCGAACGTGAACTTGACCCCAGCACATGGCACAAGCGTTGGGTCTACCATTTCGAAGGCCAAAGTCCCAAGTCCCACAGAATCAGCCTGGGTGACATCCCGGCTTTTCTGCTTCCTGGTGAAGGCGCCGTAGACTTGCCCGCTGCACGTTCTTTTTTTTAAAAAAAAAAATGTTTTTGTTGATTTTTAGAGAGAGAGGATGGGAGAGGGATGGAGAGACAGAAACGTCGATGAGAAACATCATCGATCGGCTGCCTCCTGCACGCCTCCTACTGGGGATCGAGTGCGCAACCCGGGCGTGTGCCCTGACCTCTTGGTTCCTGGGTGGACGCTCAACCACTGAGCCACACGGGCCGGGCCCAGCTGCATGTTCTTAATGCAGCTGCTTGGAATTCCCCGTATGTGAACTGAGCTAGACATCCTCCCCAGGGTGAACTTGGCCATGGACCAGCCTCCGTCTTCTTGCTGTTCCTTCGAGCGGGCCCTGGAAGGAGGCAGCGAGAGGTGGGGCACAGCAGCCCGTGTGGCCGCCCGGCCCCCAGAGCGCGTCCCGTTTCCCCGCAGGCTGTCCTCGGAGGACGGAGAGGAGGCGGCGGCTTATTCCTACGAAAGCGATGACTCGGTGGAGACGCGAGGGAAGACGCTGTACTCGGGGGAGATGGACCTGCTGGGCGAGATCCTGGACACGCTGAGCACCCACAGCTCCGACCCGGGCAAGCTGGCGGCCGCCAAGAGCCTGGACTTCTTCTGCTCCATGGACAACATCGACTACCAGCCCGCGGTGAGTGGTGCTCCGGCCACGGAGTTCAAGGCCCCGTCCCTCCCGTGGCTGTGACGGCCCCAGGCTGTCCTCTTAGCTCATACAAGTGTCAGACCTCTAATGGGCACGTGCCCCAACTTCAAAAATATGGTAACGTTGAATCGTGAAGAATTAATTCTAGTAAAAAAAAATATTCAGTGTTTTCCCTTTTATTCAGCCAACTCTGGTAGTGGTTGTCAGGAATTGAAATTCTTTGGCCAAGTAGTGGCATTTCCTGACAATCTAATTCTATAGTTGTCTTTTTTGGGGGGCGGAATTTTTTAAAACATGAAATGTCCCCACTATATTTTCTAAAGTTCCTTGATCTTAAAATAGACTAAATTTTTGTCGTCTTGCCTCAAAAAGGAGCTGTAGCTCTAAACAAATTGACCTGAATGCTTTAAAAACACTAGAGCTAGCCCGGCCGGCGTGGCTCAGGGGTTGAGCATCAACCTATGAACCAGGAGGTCACGGTTTGATTCCCAGTCAGGGCACATGCCCAGGTTGTGGGCTCGATCCCCAGTAGGGGGCGTGCAGGAGGCAGCAGACCCATGATTCTCTCTCATCACTGATGTTTCTCTCCTCTCTCTCTCTCCCTTCCTCTCTGAAATCAATGGAAATATATATATATTTTAAAAAATATCCTTGGATGAGGATTATAAAAGAACTAAATAAAATCATGGACAGTCGCTCAAGCGATGCCCTCATGGTATCAAAGACGTTCCTGAACGGGCTGTTTCCTCTTCCAGAATAAATCCAGCGCCCCGAGCGAGGACAACCTGGCGGCCCTGTGCGGCGGGTCCGGGGACCAAGGCGACTGGCTCCGTGGCCAGGACGACAGCGCCCTCCACGGCCGACACCTGCCCCCGTCCCCCAGGAAGCGGGCCAGCTCCAGCTGCGCCACGGGCTCGCTCTTCAGCCTGAAGGAGGAGAACAGTGCCAGGCCCCTCGACGGGGCCCCCGGGAGCGGCCCTCATGGGGCGGACCAGCCGGCCCCCGCCTCGGAGCTGGGTGTCCCGCGGGCTCCTCCGGACGCTGCCTGGACTGAGGAAGGAAAAGCAGACGAGGAGGAAACACTAATCCAGGCCCCAGACGATCTGCTGATCCCCAGCCTCGGGCGACGGCCGTCCTCCTCGGTCCCGTGGGAGAAGGAAGGCAACGGCGTCCAGGGGGCTCCGGGGGACCCTGGGCCGCTCCACGAAGCCGCGTCGCTGTGCCCGGCGGCGCCCGCCTTCCAGCCCGACGGGAACGTTCCGGCGGGGAGCCCGAGTGGAAACCAGGCCTCCGTCAAGAACTGAGGGCCCGCCTCGGGCGTCCACGCGTCTCGGGAGACACTGGAGGGTCCCGCGGGGACCGAGCAGTAAACAGTTACTTGTAGGCATGGCAACGCTCGCTGTTGTCTAGACATTTTCGTTTTCATGGGAGACATCGCCCGCGGATCTGGTGGGTCCGTGCGGCCCACTGATCTTTTGGGGTGAAAGCTACTTCTTCTACTGTGCTCTCCAGTCAGGTACTAGTGTGTGTGTGTGTGTGTGTGTGTGTGTGTGTGTTGAGAGTATCATTGGACACGTGACTTCCCAGGATTGGTGCTTACCGCCCTGCATTTTATTTAAACGGAGGATGCGTCCGGAAGCCTTGCACGTGACCCGGCGCTACTCCAGGAACCGATCCAGTTAGCAAAGCGTATCCGAACTCCCCTCCAACTGCTGAAACTCTTGACCCACGATTGCCTTAATCTTCCGCCGCCAGTAAGCAAACATAGCCACTCATGGAGTCGCCTGTCAACCCTCCCAGAGACGTTAGACGCGGCCTGCGGAGCAATAACGCCTTTCTAGTCGTTGAGTCCAGGACAAAAATCTCTCTCTCTTTTTTGTGTTTTTTTGTTTGTTTGTTTTTAATGAAAAGCTCTTGTGGACGCTGCAGCCACGTCTTCCAAAAAACAAGTCCCCAGGTCCACGCCTTTCACACAGGGAGCTTCTGGCACGACAGCGTGAAGGGAATGCCTCCTGTTTAGACACGAGACACTTTCCACGCCTCCCCCCAGCCTCTCGGGGAGGCCCTACCCCGTCCCCCCTTCCCCCTCCCCCCAGAGAGCCAAAGGCCACCCACACTGTCCTGACTTTTTAAGTTCTGATCTTTTTCTTTCCTTAACTAATACTTCTCTAAATTGCTTATACCTTCAAGTTGGGTTTTAAAGTAATCGACTTTCCATGTTAGAAGTTTTAGACTTCCAGGAACATTGTCAATCCCGTCCATCCCTACCCACAGTTCCCCTGTTCTCATAGCCCAGGTCAGTATGGATGGTCCGTTCATCACAATCAACGAATCAGTATTTATTTTTAAATATATTTTTTATTGATTTCACAGAGAGGAAGGGAGAGGGAGAGAGAGATAGAAACATCGATGAGGAGAGAGAATTCATGGATCGGCTGCCTCCTGCACGCCCCCTACCGGGGATCGAGCCTGCAACCCGGGCCTGTGCCCTGACCGGGAATCGAACCGTGACCTTCTGGTTCCTAGATGGATGCTCAACCACTGAGCCACGCCGGCCGGGCTTCGTGAGTCAGTATTGATGGTCCACGCCCCTTTCAGATGTCCCGAGTCTTCCCTGCTGTCCTTTCTCGGTCCTAGGCCCATGTGGCTGTCATGTCTCCTTAGATCCCCCCCTTGGCTGGGAGAGCTGCTCACCCCCTCACGGGTACCATTTCCCTCAAGGTCTTTTCCGCTGGATCCGTGCCTTACTGACCACGCGGAGTCAGCGTTCGCGTCCACGTTAGGAACAAAAGCCAAACCAAACACTCGCCGTGCTCTGCCGGGAAACCATCCGAAAGACTAGCAGCGAGGATTCCTGTGTCAGCCCGTGGAATCGTTGGGTGTTCAACGCCTACTCTTCAGCTGGACTCCCCAGTGCCCCGGGGGACGTGGGGGGAAGGAAGTGAAATTCACGCGAGGTCTGCCGTGCACAGAAGTGTTCTCTTCTGCTCGGCTCCTCTCATCTGTTCCGACGAAGCCAGCTATTTGCGGACCCCCCTGCTGCTGGGATTTTACGTGTTTGAAGACCTAACACCTGTTTGTCCGACGAGGAGACTTGTGTAGATGAGGGAGACGGGCTCTCCACAGAGCCCGGGTTCTCCCCGAAATCCCCCCCACCCCCCAGCCTGCATCCTTCGCCCTTAGCGGGGTCCCCGTGGCATTGCAGGGGATGGAAGAGCAGCGTGTGAACTCCGGAGCTCTTGCTTGGTTAAGGGAGAGTGTTAGGAAGTAGCATTAGGAGTGTCGGTAGCAGGATGGTGACCTCCCTTCGCATGTTTTAGAAAAGCACCCGGTTATAGCATGATCGTCGTTCTATTAAAAATGAACAGCCCTCTCATTTAGGAACTAATCATGGACTCTTCGTCCTGGACACATGCAAGGAGCAGTATCTGAGGATGGAGGGAAAGAAGATGGTGGACATTGTCCCTGCTGCGAAGGGACCAGTTAAAAGGGATTGCAAATATCAATAATAGTGATGATGATGATGATAATAATAATAATAATAATAATAAATTCTGCTTAGATGTTATTAACCCAAGATTCTAATACCAAAAAAAGCCTCTTAAAAGCTGCTTCATCTGATACTTGCTCTAAGTCAGAACCACAGTGCCATGTCTAAGCTCATGACCTTTCTCTGTAATTATATGAAGAATCTAGAATAATGCTGCTACCTGAGGTACCGACTTCTATTTTTATTTTTTTAAAATATATTTTTATTGATTTTAGAGAGGAAGGGGGATGGAGAGAGAAAGAGAGAGAGAGAGAAACATCAATGATGAGAGAGAATCACAGATCGGCTGCCTCCTGCACGCCCCACACTGGGGATTGAGCCCGCAACCCGGACATGTGCCCTTGACCAGGAATCGAACGGTGACCTCCTGGTTCCTAGGTCGACACTCAACCCCTGAGCCACGCCAGCCCGGCTCTAATCCCCTCCCTTTTGAATGAAGACTGTATGTGACAGTTCTGTCGCTAACTCCCTCATAGGACCCAGGGTTTGAATGAGTCAGTTGTGTCTTAAACAAGGTGAGGAAGTTCGGCTCCTGTGCCAGAGGAGAAAACTGTGAATATTCTCAACATCAGTAGCTCTTCCTTCTCTTCTAGAAAAATCTGGATTTCCGGGGAGGAAAAAAAATTACTCTCATGAATACATTTTTGGATGCGAATGCCATTTTGTTTAGCATAAGACACCTTGATTCTGGGCCGAGATTTGTCCATGGGAACACAAGTTTAAGAATGTCACATGAAGAAAAAAAAAAAAAAGAATGTGAGATGAGTCCCCAAATCTAATTTCTCCAAAGCGCCTCTCTAATTTCTCCAAAGCGCCTCATGACATAGCCAGGGGTTCTTTCAAATGGGGTCAGTACTGGGGTCTGTCTTATGCGGAGCCTGTTTGAGAGAGAGGATGGTTTTGATCAAACCAGTCAGCATCTTGATTTGTTCTAGAGAATTCCGTGTGTTTAGAAAGAAGGATATTTCATTTTGAAAATGATAGGATTTTGTGCAATATAATTTCTCGCATCATTTCGTTCAGACACATGCGCAAATCTGCTTTGGTAGCAGACGCCTTAAGGTGTTGTTGTTTGGTATTTGTGTAGAACTGTACGTAGTAATGCCCCCGGGGATTCTTTTAGGGGGAAAAAAATGTATAGTGTTTCTGTGGTTGGCAGGAGAGAAATGTGTCTGTTTATTTAAAATAATTGTGGACCGTGCATCCTCACGAACTGCCTCAGCAACAATAAATATGCAAGAATCATCCTCAGCCTTAGGGGAGGGTTGGCCACGTTGTGTTTTTAAAGGACACGGGTACAGGGCAGCGTGTGGGTTCTACGTGTCCATTGAACAAACAGCCAGCCCGCACCACGCCAATCGAAGGGGCGTTTGTCCGGCGACGCCCACAGCTGGGCAGTGTTAACATCCTTTGGGGCATTGCCCACAGCTTGGCACCGCCGGTGCATGAAGTTCATTTCTTTGTGTGTGATGTACAGTCCAGTCTGTTGCGCCTCCCAGCTTCTCGAGGTTTCTACCTTTGAAATACTTGAATCCAGCAGAAAAGCACTGTGGGAGTTCTGTAGACTGGGATACAATATGCAAATCTACCAAAAAGCCAACAAAGTGAAGGTACAAACTCAAAGGTACTGAGCAGTGGCGTCCGCCGGATGCTGTGTTCGCTCCGTGCGTGGAGTGTGAAGGAATCGTGAGCCGCACAATCGTTTGTCTTCAAAGGTTGCAGAACCACAAAAGGTTACCTCGTTGACGTGAGACACCCCTCAGTCTCTCGGTCCGTGGAGCTCCCGTTCTCCGGGGGGTCGCCGGTTCATGTCCCTCAAGAAGGGACAGCGAGGGACACGAACACATCGGCCTCCGGTTGGTCCCGTGACGTCGAGGATGGGACAGAAGAGGCGGGGTGCGTCCTCCAGGTACCACACCCCTCCGTCGGCCTCCTTCAGGGAACACCCCCTCCCCCTCTGCACGCTTGACCTGCGACCCATTTCACCATCGGACGCCAAACACGAGCTTTCTTGCCTCTGCTGTGGTTTCGGCGCTGACACCGCAGGCAGGCAAGACGTGGGCGAGACCCCCGGCTTCCCGTGCACCCAGTTTTCCTGCAGACGCGGTTCGCGAGGGGTTCCGAGTTGAACTTGCCCCTCGCGTGTTTCTTTCGCTTTAACGCAGTAGCTGTTTAGAAGGCCTGAGCCCTCTGCGAGACACAGGGCATGGAGACGGGCTCCACTGTGCTTGCGTCCCGGAGGCTGCAGTCGGAATCATCTCAAAGGCTGACTACTACTGAGAGAACATTGTGTAGAACAGGATTGTTGGGGGAATTTTTTTTAAAAAAAAATATGCAAATATGAATATTGGATGAACTACGCATTACCATAAAGTGCCCAACGATGCAGTTATGAAATAAAATCGATTGTAACCCAAACTTCGCATGGCGGTGTGGCTCTTCTCTTATAACCGGGCAGGTAACCCCTTCTTTTCTCTAGGTGACCGATGGGGGGGGCCCTACCATCCCTGCCTCAGCTTTTCTTCATTGCAGACTCCAGCCTACATCATCCTGCTGGGTGTGGTCCCCTCACTTTGTTAGGGTCGACGATCGTGGGACAGGCACACAGAGTGTTACTAAGCGGATCAGGCCCAACTGGCGTGGCTCAGCAGCTGAGAGTTGACCTATGAACCAGGAGGTCAGGGTTTGATTCCCGGTCAGGGCACAGGCCCGGGTTGTGGGCTCGATCCCCAGTGTGGGGCATGCAGGAGGCAGCCGATTCATGATTCTCTCTTATCGTGGATATTTCTATCTCTCTCTCCCTCCCTCTCCCTTCCTCTCTCTGAAATCAATAAAAATATATTTTTTTCTAAATATATTTTATTGATTTTTTTACAGAGAGGAAGGGAGAGAGATAGTTAGAAACATCGATGAGAGAGAAACATCGATCAGCTGCCTCCTGCACATCTCCTACTGGGGATGTGCCCGAAACCCAGGTACATGCCCTTCACTGGAATCGAACCTGGGACCTTTCAGTCCGCAGGCCGACGCTCTATCCACTGAGCCAAACCGGTTTTGGCGAAAAATATATTTTTTAAAAATAAAAAACATCCATGATGAGAGAGAGTCATGGATCGGCTGCCCCCCGCATGCCTCACACTGGGGATCAAGCGCGTAACCCGAGCATGACCAGGACTCGAACCGTGACCTCCTGGTTCATAGGTTGATGCTCAACCACTGAGCCACGCCGGCTGGGCTCAGTCCTATGGTTGTAACACCCCGCGTGCCCGAGGAGAAATAAAACAACTAAATGAGGCAGCAGGTCCCCAGGGCTTTGCTTGCGTGAGTTGGCCACGCGCTTCCCTCCGGATCTAACACCACGTTTCAGGCGATGATCAGGAAGGAGCTGGTTCCCAGCCTCCGTGTCGGGAAATGCGGTATCGAGCCAACAGCACCTTGTGCGGGTGCAACAGTGAAATCGCAGCCACGTGTCGCGTCCAACTGTCAGTATCAGCGACGAGAGCTCCTCGTTGGCGCGGGGCCGCCTGAGCTCAGCACATTCCGGCGTGACTTGCTGAGACGCGGATAATTGTCCTTGTCGTTACCCGGTTGCCATGGATTCCTTTCTACTCCATCAGCAGGTTCTTTGAATCGATGCCGCGACGTGGTTTGACTGCCATCAGCACAATCGGACTTGGATGGAAAGTTTGAAAGGTATTGGGAACGAAGCCCGTGCACTTGCTCATTTCCAAGTGCAGCAGCTAATCCCCCCGGGAGGCCTTGCCACTGCGGGCCCACCCGTTCCCGAAACACACTGGGGGGCCTGGGCCTCTGACGAGGCGAAGGTGTGCAAAAAAAATGTAGGCTTCAGAACCGTGTCTTATGTGAGCGCTATGTTTTTTGTTTTTTTTTTTCAAATATATATTTTATTGATTTTTTACAGAGAGGAAGGGAGAGAGAAACATTAATGATGAGAGAGAATCATTGATTGGCTGCCTCCTGCACGCCCCCTACTGGGGATCGAGCCCACAACCTGGGCATGTGGCCTTGAATGGAATCGAACCCAAGACCCTTTGGTCCACAGGCCGACGCTATATCCACTGAGCCAAACCGGCTGAGGCTAAAATTTGCCTCGTCTACCTGGAATGGTACAGTTTTATTTCCCAAGCCCCATACAATTCATGCATGCTTAATCATGGGGGAAATGGCTCTCCACATTCCTTAGCGAATTTGGGATGTAATGGAAGTAATTTGTACACACACACACACACACACACACACATCCATTAGAATGGAAAACAGGTTAAATATTTGGAAACCAAGAGAAAACTGAGCCAGGAAGACACCGATTTCTCCAAGAGGATTGATCTCTCTGCCACCCAATAAAACAGTGGTTCTCAACCTTGGCCGCCCATTAGAATCACCTGGGAATCTCTTTAAAATCCTGATTTCTGGGCCTCATCCTCCGGAAATTCTGTTTCTTTGTGATGGGGTGGGGCCACAACATTTGTAACGAAGAAACAGAATTTCCGGAGGAGGAGGCCCGGAAATCAGGATTTTAAAAAGATTCCCAGGTGATTCTAATGTGCAGCCAAGGTTGAGAACCACTGCGATAAAAGGTCCGTGTATAGGGGGTGCCAAGGAGACGTGGTAAGTTGCCAACCTGCAATGTGCCCTTAGGCCCGTGGTCGGCAAACCGTGGCTCGCGAGCCACATGCAGCTCTTTGGCCCCTTGAGTGTGGCTCTTCCACAAAATACCACGTGCGGGCGTACGTACAGTGCGATTGAAACTTCGTGGCCCATGCGCAGAAGTCGGTATTTTGTGGAAGAGCCGCACTCAAGGGCCCAAAGAGCCGCATGTGGCCCATGAGCCGCAATTTGCCGACCACTGCCTTAGGCGAAGGCAAACAAGAATATAACTGATGAGTTTGAATTCTTCTTTTCCTTCGGACGCCCATGTTTCAACCCAAAGCAGAAGGAGGTCATGGGAAGGTCTCCGTGGCTCAGCAAGTCGGTGGATCCCAGCTCAGTACAGCGTTGGAACGTTCAGGTAGGATGACTTGCAAAAGCCAGATTTTCCAAAACAAGTGATAACAACTCGACGGTGATTGGGAAATTCCCTCTTCCCTCTGCAGACCAGCGGGCCTGGGTGTCAGCAGCGTTTCCTCCCCCACCTCCCAGACGGTGAACGTTGCTTGCAGGGGCCGCTGGCTGATGGCTGGGCTCAGACTGGAAGGGGATGGATGGGTGGTGGCTGGGGCAGGGCCGAGATAAAGAGGAAAAAGGAGGTTTCCTCCCAGAAAAACAGCTTCTTCTCCCCTGGGAGACCGAGCATAGCTGAGGCTTTTCGTTTCCTTTTTTGGCTCAGGCTTCTGGGCCGGGAGGGGAGCCCTCCGATTAGATCTGCGCGGAGCCGGACCCGTGAGGGAGCCGGCCAAGCGCGCCGAGTCCTGGGTGGGCCAGAGGGCTCGGACCATCCTCCATCCCACGCTGCCGGGTGGCGGGGCTCACCTCACGGCAGGGAGGCCACTGGCTGGGGACAGCTTTTCAATAGGTTTGGATGTTATGGACGTTGGGGGACTGCCCAGTGTTTTCTAGTCTCCTTGAGCTAGTCCAGGGGTCCTCAAACTATGGCCCGCGGGCCACATGCAAATACAAATATTGTATTTGTTCCCGTTTTGTTTTTTTACTTCAAAATAAGATATGTGCAGTGTGCATAGGAATTTGTTCATAGTTTTTTTTTTTAAAACTATAGTCCGGCCCTCCAATGGTCTGAGG